TTGTTTTCGAAGGACACAGACACAATCAGCTCTAGGTTATTGAGAACGATTCGGAGTCAACCAGAGCATTCCGAAAAATTTACGAGCAAAGAAAGTTGTGTGGTGTAGACATAAATATCACTATCAGAAGCTATTCTATTTATTTATGCGATTTTTGACCTTCAGAAATTTCTACAAACGCTTCATGTTTGGCAGGAAATTTCCCGCACTTCTGAGAAAAAGGATTTACATCGTTCAGTACTTTTCCTCTTTCTAAAACTTATTTACTGTAAATTAAGTTCGATTGTTTGACAAAACCATCCAGAGAAAAAATTGTGAAACAGAGTAACTACATAAGGTATACGAAAATTCATCATTAAATAATTGACTTTAAGTTGTTAATATTCTATTTTAATTACAAAGTACTTATACAGTGAATTCATGGACTCGACAATGTTTTAAAATACGGGAAAATATTATTCCAGTCTCCAAATTATTACTTTAATTTTAGTTAAAAAATAATAGGCAATAAAGAGCAGAGTTAATTACTTTTTATTCTTTATTCATTCCTGGTTCTATTTACTACTTTGTATCTAGATATAAACTGCAATCTAACATTCCTCTGTATCTTTGACAGCTTGATCCACTCATGGGGGTATGATTCACGCAACTTTTCTTGAACGTTGGTTTGAAGAAATGCGGGTAGAGTGGGGGTATTATTTACGTAATCAGCCACTAGATTTTATGAAGCAATGCCAATCTCTGGAGAATCAGTCATGCCTTCGCAATTTTCTCAATAATTTGCGTTCTAACTTTCCCAGGAGTTCGAGGTATCTCCTGCGATGGAATCCTTACCTACTTCGGTCATTTCTTTACATTTTTTTGGAGCAAATCACAAACAGAAGTTCTATCTTCAACAGAAAATAGTTTTTATTTCGCGCCAGTGAAGACGTGTTTGCATTGTTGTCATCAGTGCACCCTGCGGGCCTTTGTCTTCAACTGTTTATTGTGTCAGAGAGAAGCAAGGTCATCGTTTAAGAAAAGTTGCGTGAGTAGTACTACTTCTTTTCCCCTCAGGTCCTGCTTCATACTCTCTCCGTCCTCGTTTTTGCACCGTATGTTAGTGAGTGTGGTCTTGTCCTTCTCCCGGCTCAGGGGTCGTTTATCTTCTCCGATTAAGGGAAGGAGCGGGAGAGAGACGGAGGGAGGAGAGAGGTGGCGTCGTGGCTACGAGAAGTGAAAAAGTTCTCACCCCGAGGCAAGCCGGTAAAGCGGAACAAGACGCCCCCTTCCTTCTCCCTCCCTTGTGCCCGCCGGCATGCCACGTTGCCTTGCTCCTTAGCGCTTGGGTAGATTATTCAGGAGGGGGATTCAGGTCACTTGGTGCGTAGCGCGCCGCTACCTACGCCGCCATTGCGTCTCACGGCTTGCGCATCGCTTCGGAAACGCTTAGCACCTCATTTTCATTCTTGCGCTTGACAATGTTATAGACTACTTTGCAAGGTCTCATGAACGTCACTATAGAAGTTATAGGTGAAATGAAGCTTTCTTATATCCCTATTTATAGTAAAGGTTGGTTTTTATTTTAATGAAAATGTCACAAAATGAAAGAGCTCTTCTGAATATTAAAGTCGTCACTTTAATATGTATAATTTAATTTTATTTTACATTTATTTCAAAATATTCTAGTCGCATACGACATATACTAAAACCCTGCTAATCCGAACCCCGCAAATCCGAAATTTTACATGATCCAAGCAAAATTTGGGATTGAGGAAAAATATATAAAATGCGTATTTGTAGTGTAATGAATGTATTTTATAATGATCCGTACTGTGGAACTGAACAGCTGACTATTGAAACAAGTCGAAATGAAACGTTTATTGCACTGGTAACTACGTTATATCACATATTTATGTAGCAGGAATTTTCCCTTACAGGAAATTGCAAAATCTATAATATCCTTTGGCCGTAAGGACTCTGCTCTATAATGCGATGTGATGATACGATATCTACGCTACGTTGTTATTTTCTCACATCGCACGCCACGGGGCATTGTGTCTGTTAATGATACAGAAGTATTTGTATAATGTGCGGTACGTTTCGTCTGATAATCCGAACAGACCACACTCCCAATTAGTTCGAATCACCAGAGATGTTCTGTATTTTCTCTTTAAAAAATTGAAGTGGAACTATCAATTGAACCTTTCAACCACTGCAAATAGATATATCAAATTTGATATGTTTAATTAATTTATTAGATTTTTAGCACTTACCAATTTCACACTTACCACTTTTATCGCTTACCAATATAATTTTTTTTTCACATGGCAACGTAAATTATTTTATTATATTGTACTAAAAATCAATAAAACAGAATTTCATTCTTCGTGAAAATACCAGTTTCAAAATGTGTATTATTAATACTGGAGCATTATTGAATGCAACGACCAATCTAATTTTGTTCAACACTTATTTTCTTACGCTTCATGGCAATTTAAAACTCTTCAATTATCATCCAGAAATCTAACCATAAAATACAAATTATTATTCACCAAAAAATTGAAAAACAAATGTGTGTTGTTATTCGGCACATGGTAATCGTAACTCATTATTCACTTCAATAAGATTGAAATTTGCTCTGTTTCTAAATTCAGATTTAACTATTCAAATGCGTTCAGGCCAAAAAATCAACGTACATCTGCAATAAATCAAGAGTACGAATGAATGACAAATAACGACCCTCTTACTTGATCAACTTGATTTTAATTGCAATCACGTCATTTTTGAATTGCGCATTTGACAGCTAATGCGACTTAATCATGCAGATTCTATTTATTCCGCACCGGAAAATAACATCCACAAAGGCTCAAACCGAAAGGAGAGAAGACCAAAAATAGCCGCACGCGAACGTCATTTGACGATTCTTGAGCTTTGCACGAGCGATGTAGTGATGTGCATTCCAGGTACGAGAATGATTATTCACCTGGCGTAGTGTGATTGCAAGGGTTCACTCGCACAAAGGCTGAGCCACTCAGAGGGATCATTACGGTTCATCAGAGCTGTGAATGCTCTTCGTGCAGCCGAACGAAGGCCGTGAAAGCGTTCGTCGACCCAAGGGCAATTGCAATTATTCATAGAGCCAACAGCCATATTTCACGAGAATAAAACATAACTGCCGGAGAATTGCGAAGGTCATTTCGTACCTACGCGGAAACAGACTTATGTTTACGGCGTTAGATAAATGAATATGTCACGATTTTCTACTTTGACTTTTATTCCTTGTTTCGACTTAACGCGAGTTTACAATTCAAATTTGAATATCGCGTTCATCCGGATGTGAAAATCGATCTGTTTAAAATGTATTCTTCTCTTCATGCTTACGGACGTGCGCTATTTATTCCGCTTTTGCGTTCTCTTAAACTTTGCGAGAGCTATTTTACCATGCTGAATATTTACATAAGATAAGATGTGTTGACGCAAATAACTAAATTAATAATCAATAAACAAACGTACATTTTGACAATATTAATTTATTTAGTATTAGATAAAAATATTTTCAGCTAATCACGCACGTTGGAAAGTAACATGAAAAACAGTAATTTATTAAAATACTGACGAATTATTTCTGCAATCGGATACTTTAACAATCTATTTTTTATTTAATCGGAATTTTTTTAAAATAATTGTACAATTCTAGTAACATAATCATTCAGGAATCACATCTTTACATTGAGATATTGATCGAAGTACATATCAAGTTCACACAATGAATATTTCATCAGCTTAAGAAACCAGCGTAATTACCATCTTTTTGGGAATTATCCCTCAGAAAGATTTACGGCCATCGCAGCGTAATCTGAACAGTGCACAATTATCTCGTTGGAATTAACCTCTTATTCGAATTGGAGCTTCCCCACCGGCCTGCCACTCAATGTCTAGTAGGTGTCTGATTCGCCTAACCGATGAGGGCGATCAGGAGGCACGTCTTTCTCACACGCAAACGTTTAAATATTATGCCGCTCACGAAAGTATCACGAAAAACTTAATAATTATTATTATAATAACGATTATTATAATTTTAATTATTATTATTATTATTATTATTATTATTATTGTTATTATTATTATACATTGAAATCAAATTATTGAGTTCATTAATTTATTGGTTGCAAAAAAACCTTCTATTGTCGTAGTAGTATTTTGGCAAGAAGGATTGACAATCAAAATTACATAGTGCATGTACACATTAACATAAAGATGTGGATGCCTTGGGGTCTCCAGACGACTTGTCCATGGAGAAGGACACCTAGGTATTTATAAGTTGCGATGTCACTAAATTTTAAGGTAAATTACGCGTCATGTAGGGCATAAGATTAACACAACGCCTTGTTAACAGAACCTCTCATGACGCAGTCCATTGCAGAATCGGCATCGGCGGCGGCCGTCTCTTGGGCCTCTGAATTTCTCATCGGTCGGAGGCTGTGGCCACAAGCGCCTGACAGCGCCCCTGCACCGCCTCGACTGCCTACGTACAGCCAAGAGCAACCTGCCCGCGCTCCAGAGAGCGAAAGCTTAATGTGCTCTGGTTGAAATGGAATAATCGAGACCTGGGCATATGCAGGGCACCCGTGGGCCACTCACTAATACCGTTCACCCGAAGAAAATAATAATGTAAACAAACACACGTGTGTTAGGATAATTCTTATTGATTTGCAGTATGAGCTCTGCTGTGTCGGGTTCCTAAACCTAAAGAAAATAGTTGTCTGTGTAAGAACATACTGCAATTCAATGAGAATCATCCTAACACACATCAGAATTTTTCTTATGGTGAACGGATAATAGTCTAGAGCCGATATAGCCCGAGCGTCTCCTTTCCTCTCTTGTATCCTTTACTTGGGCTGACTCAACAAGCAACCGGGGCAGTGACCTGCGTGATAAACTCTGTGCCAGCAGGGGTTGCCCAGCAGAAAGCCAACGGTCCAGCCGGCGAAACGGGAGTCGAGCGCTGGCCTACCTACCTGTGAGCAGCGCGGAGGCGGCGAACTTGTCGTGGGCGGGGCGCAGCAGCACGCCAGCACTGAGCTGCAGGCCGTGGTTGAGGGTGTGCACGGCGCAGCAGCACGCCACCACCACCCACCCCCAGCCGCCCTCGGGGTAGTAGTGGCGCGTGAGGGTTGCCACCTTGCGCGGGTCCTGCGGGGCAGACACGCCACTTTAACACGTGTTCTACTTTCATTCAGATACCCTATGTGTACTTTGCTGGCCTTAGACATCTCATGGGCTGGTATGGAACTGCTAAAACATTCACTCTATTCATATGAGCGCGTGTAAAGAAATAAAAGACATCATTATCTACATCTTAGGTAGGTCAAGGCATCGACTAATGTGTCTGCAGTGCCTCTTATCCAGAGGGTTTTAGAACTGGCAGTAGCAGGAGTTTACCTTGATAGAAAGGTCAGAGCGAGAGATAAGTGGTAGGCGAAAGCCTAGCAAGCCGGCGTGTAGGTCGGCGCCGGATCTCAACGTCCAGCCGGGGAGGAACATTATCCGTGGCACTATACTTACGTAACTGATAATCATAGTAATAGTTACGTAGTAGATAATCATAGTTGAAACGTCTGCAACCCCAAAATAATCAATAAATTAATCAAATTTTCACGAATCTCCCAACCGCTGAAACAGGAAACTATGCTATCGAGAACAAAGCCATGCGTGATACAAACAATACGTGTTGCTGACCTCTGTCTCATCGTCGGAATAATGTAAGGAATGGGGACACGGAGCGAAAATTAGTCGGATGATAGGAAACCTCTTTGACGTCTCGCCTTTTGAAGAAGTGCTTTCATGTGCAATGAACTGATGACAACATGAAAGGAAGGTACTGATGCGAGACTGAGGAGCGTAGCAAAACTTTTCTGTATTCAACAGTCCATCGTTTGTGCGGGGGATAATATTCAACGATGTTGTATTCCCTCTTCAGTTAAGAAGTATTTCAAACATTTTATTTTTCTGTGATTGCTGCGCTGTATGAAATGGTAAAGAATTCCAATATGTTATAGATCATATACTAGAAATATTATGTACATTTTTTTAAAATTTTTTTCTACGATCTAGCCATTGAGTCAAAAGGAAAATTATCAAAATAAATATGTTTTTCCACAATTTTTAGCATTTTGCAAATCATAAAGTTATGTTACGTCATTTGAATTGCCATTATAAATTTACATATCATTTTAATATCATATTAGATTATCCCTAAACTACACAATCAAGTAGAGTAAAACAATGAGGAGCGAGCAGTGCCTCCTATCATGAGCCTTCTCAATATTCCAAAACAACTATGGAAGTAATTAATGTTTACAGAATTCGCGTTCTCTATTATAGCAAGGGCCATAAATTCACCACCTCCACTTCCGCGTGCAGCATAGTGCTCCTATAGGCGGCCGCAGAGACGACGGCGCGACCGCGGGACACGGCAAACCGTGTGTTCGGCAGCGCTCGCCAATAAACAAGAGACGGGGCGGTTTGCCTGTGGCGGAACCGACTCCCGAAACCAGAGCACAATCGTGGCCCGCCCCGGCAGCGGCAGTGGTGGGGCCGGTGGCGGGGGCGAGAGCGGCAACGAAGGGAGCGGTGAGCGGGCTGGCGAGGGCAGCGGAATGGACAGCGGTGGACGGATGGTGGGGGCTTCGATGCGCCGGCAGAGTAGCGAGGAGCGATGGGGCGACGGGGGGCGTGCAAGCGATAGAAGCGGGGACGACGATGGTGGTGATGGGGACAGGGGGTGAAGCCGAGGAGAGTGGCGGCGGTGGGGGAGTGCGAGGTGGGTGGCGAGGGCGGGTGTGAAGGGGCGGAAAGCGGGGGCGGGTGCGAGGGCGGGTGCGAGGGCGTGTGCGAGGGCGTGTGCGAGGGCGGGTGTGAAGTGCGGGCTGTGGAGGGGGGAAGCGAGGGCGCGGCGAGGGCGCGCGATGGGCGGCGCGAGAGCGGCGGCGAGGGCGCGCGGCGAGGGCGGCGGCGAGGGTGGCGACGAAGACGGCAACGAGAATCAGGGGCGGGCGCGGTGTGGCTGAGGGGGTTCGGCAGAGGGAGAAACAGAGCGGTGGAGCGGATGTGGGAGGTGCGGGGCGACGAGATAGCAGTAGCGGGGACGACGGTTGCAAGAGCGGCAGCGAGGGCGGCTGAGGACGGCATCGGTGACGCCGCGGCATGGGAGGGGGTGGGGCTATGGGCGGACGCGCTCTCGGCTAATAAGCGAGCGACGATCCCCGAGGTGGCTCTATTGAGCACGCTGCCCTGCGCGCCCGGGCCGCACGAGCAACACGACGGCCGCCCACAATGCGGACGCCGCGCCCTGCGAAAGCGGCCCGGGGGCGGGGCGGCCGGGACAATGCCAGGTTAGAGAGCACAGCGGGACGATTCAAGCGTTCGAAATTTTATGGTAACACTTAAAAAAAGCACAAGCAAGTCCTCACCTAGGTACGCATGTGTTGAGATCAAAATTTTCCTGTCGTTTTATATTTTTTTAAATTCAAATTAATATTTTTAATCCATTTTTATTGCAAGCTCCCAAGATTAAAGTCACATCTTAAACATTCAAATACTTTCAACATTTATACATACGTTTAATAATGCAGAGATTTGAAATATTGATGGAGTTCGCTTATAAAATAGATAGAAAGAACAAATTATGTGAATTGCATCATTAAAATTATGTCGTATCATATCGAAGCTGAGTATTTCATCTTCATGAATGTTTATACTTTCCCCGATTCAATATTTCTGAAGTTTTTACTGCAGTTGTTTTGCAATTTCAATAACAGCGTCTCTTAAAATATTATGATATTGGCGATTGTAAAAAATATCTATATTCCGAGTAGTAAAATGGAATGAACATGAATGAATGTCATATCGGCAAAGAAGGTACTAAAGTAGTGCTACTTTTGGAACACATATACATACATTCAAGGCAACTTACTTCGGTACGGCCATCACTCGCATTTATGATCACATCGTAACTTGGGGCTGACGATAACATCATTTTATTCTGTTTTTCTTACATAGCTCAAACAATATTGATTTAGAAATCGTAGAGAGTATTGGTGAGTTTAATCAAATACTTCCTCAATATCTGTCTTCTGTGTCTTTTCCGTTCTCAATTCCGCACATCAATCAGTTGAAATCCGCGCGCACTTTCCGGGCTGGAATTGAAGTTGCTTGACTTTTTACGGAGAACAAAATTACACCACATTCTGGTCACCACATTCGCCGAGAATCCACGTCCCGGGAGTCGATCACACAACCCAGCAAGCGACGACGCAGCTGCAACGGACTATCCGGCCACTGCAAGTGATTCCGCAATTCGCAGAAAGGAAAAACTGGAAAGGAAGAGCTCTGCAAACTTCGAGACTCACGCGAAAAAAGGCCATAAATACGGGGCGACACGGGAAACATTTTATAACGCTCGCTAAATCACGGAAAGAAAAAAAGAATACCCATCCTCAATGGGGAAAAGGCAAAAGAGCGGAGAAAAGCAAAAAGTGGAGATGGCGAGCGCTGGGAAAGCACATTATTGAAAGAGTCGACCCGGAAGAGATTAGTAAGCGACCCGAAAGCACACAACACAGTTGTGGGGACTCGGAAAAAGTATGCAAAGTATCGTTAATTGATTATGTCGTGTTTCCGGGCATGTCGACTGTTGCAGTCATTATTCCGGTAGTTGTAGTGCATGTTTTATTACGGAGATATCGGCGTTCTTTAGCAATTGAATGGCGAGATCCGCCGACGATCTACACCTCAGGATACGGGCTTTCTCTGACCAGGTATCTCCCGTTTACCGGGCACCGTCCCAGCCGGAACAAACACCAAACTCCCAACTGTTCTCTCTACATGTGTGGTAGTGTAGTGCTTGTAAGCGTGTGTCAGCAAGAAGTTAGAATAGGTTACGGAAGAGAAAGGAAATATCACGCGAATTCAGTGGCCCGTTTCTTAGGGTACTGCCCCAGCATTTCCCTCTGGTTCATCGGAGAAACCGTGGAAAACTATCAATCAGAGCAGCCAACCGCTGAAATTCTTCTCCAGACGGCTTTTGGATTCAACCTAGCTATCTAGTGTTAAAAATCCTGTCACCAAAGGGGCTCAAACTCTAGAACCGCCAGAAGCACTGTAGTGCCATTTGTTGATGCCCTGAGCCACCTCAGGTGATATAGGACCGAAGGGATACAATCCTTTGCTCGGGGAAAGAGGACGGTCCAGATTTTCCTGATTCGATTCTTAGATCCAATTTACACACTTCCTTTTGACGAATAATTGCGGAAATTACTGAACGCGTGCAGTGTGACTTCCGGATCCTCAGAAGCAACTCTGAGCCGACTCGCATTCGCTAAAACGTAGCAATCGTTTGTCAAAACAACGTAAATGAGTGTCTAGGAAGACAGAGTTACCGAACCTTTTTACCCTATTATTCTGGTTGCCGAGTCAAAAAAATCGAATAACATCCCTTGATATTTTTAATAGGTATCCAAATGTTTCCACATTAATGTCATTGAAATTTTCACTTTCTTTTGTTTGAGAACTTCAGATTTTCCAGCAAATTAACCTTGAACCTCTGCGTTTAGCTCAGATTTATCTAGGAAGTTTTATGACCGCAGTTTTAAGTATTCATTAATATAAGTATGCGTCTAAAAATTTCACTGAAGAGACAAAAAACTGGTAAACCTGTCTAATATTGTGTAAGTTCTCCGACAGCACGCAGAAGTGCCGCAACATAACGTGGCATGGACTCGACTAATGTCTGAAGTAGTGCATAAGGTAAGTGACATTATGAATCCTGCAGGACTGTCCGTAAACGCGTAAGAGGACGAGGGGGTAGTCATCTCTTCTGAACAGCACTTGCAAGGCATCCCAGATATGCTCAATAATATTCATGTCTTGGGATTTTAGTGGCCAGTGGAAGTGTTTAAATTCAGAAGAGAGGATATCTGGAGCCACTCTGTAGCAATTCTGGATATTTGGGCTGTCGCATTGTCCTGCTGTGATAGCCCACGTCAGTCGGGAAGCACAATGTACATGAATGGGTGCAGGGAGTCCGACAGGATTCTTCATACGTTTCACTTGTCAAACTCATATCTAGACGTTTCAGGAGTCCCAAATTACTCCAACTGCACACGCCCCATACTATCCCAGAGCCTCCACCA